ACTTTAGAATCTCTTGAGGGCATATTTGAGGTTCTACAAAGGTTTGAGCAATTATCTGGATTAGCGGTAAACATCTCAAAAACTTCTTTGTTTTGATCTGGATTAGCCGAATCAGAGTTAATTCAAATCAAGTCAAAGTTTGATCTTAGCCCACAAGCTCTACCTATTCGGTATCTTGATTTGCCACTTTGTCAAAACGCATATCTGTTGGAGATTGCGACCCATTACTGGTTCAGATAAGGAAGAAGATTAATAGTTGGTCTGATCGCCACTTAAGCCTTGCTGGTGATATACACTCTTGACTTCCGTTATCTCAGGTATTGTCGGATTCTGGAGTTCGGCTTTTCTATTGCCCAAACAGGTGATAAAGCATGTAAACACATTATCTAGTGCCTTCTTCTGGATTGGCTTAACAGACTCGGCAAAAGGTGTAAAGGTGAAGTGGGAGGATATATCTTTCCCAAAAAAGGGGGTTTGGGATTGAGAAGCCTTTCTAGTTGGAATATAACATGTGGTTTAAAGCTTATTTGGATGTTATATTTCAGAGGAAGTTCTATCTGGGTGGCTTGGATAAGGAGAAAATATTTGTCAAGGTCTCCTCTTTGGGCGTTAAACGAGAAGAATTACATGTACTCTTGGATGTTTCGTAAATTGTTGAAGCTAAGATATGTCGCGGCTACTTTTTTACGTATCAAGATAGGAAATGGAGATGATACCTTCTTTTGGTGGGATCCTTGGACCCCTTTTGGTCCCTTGATTCACTTCTTTGGCCCTGATGGACCTTATAGACTCAGAATCCCTCTGTTCCATACGGTTAGTGATGTGCTCTCATCTGATGGTTGGCTTGTACCACCGACAAGATCAGAAAATCAGGTTCAGTTATATGCTCTTATTTCAACGATTGTTAGAACACAAAGAAGCGACTTTCCTCAGTGGCTGATCGGTGACGTGCCGCAAAAGTCATTCTCATCTAGAAATGTGTGGAACAGTATTAGAGAGGTTCACCAATCTATAGCGTGGTTCTCATTGGTGTGGCACAAAGCAAGAATTCCAAAGCATGCTTTCATTTTTGTGCTCAATGGCAACGCACCTCTCGGATGCGATGTAGAACAAGTTTGCATACTTTGTGGTGAAGAAAATGAAACAAGGAATTACCTATTCTTTGATTGCTCCATTGAAAATGCAGGAACCTTTGCACAAGATACTTGAACCAGAGATATGTGAATGACATAGGAAGTTTCCAATAAAAACACAGTCTTTATTGCTATCCCCGCAGGGCACAACAACTGATACACAACACAGCTGTTGTAATAGATAGATTACACAAACACTTCTATAGAACAGATCCTACAACCTATTCTACCCAGAGTTATGCAACATCACACACACGTGATTCGCTCCTGAACATGTTCCTAATCTACCTAATGTAACGCAACAACAGTTACGAAACCTATATCTTTCACTCAATACAACAGATCAAATGGCTCTCACTGTTTATGAGTTCTTCAAAAACCTATTTCGGAAGAACTAGTCGGCATATGAACTATCCCCCCTCCTTTTATAGTAGTAGCAACCAACAACTCCTATAGTCCCAAAAACAACTCCCCTTTAATTCGAAAGAGCAACATAATTGTTCTTGTTGATGTCAGACCACCAGTCCCATCAACATTTGATAAACAGTGAGCAATCCCACTTGCACATTGACTTTGTGCACTTGTGTCAGAACTCCTTGTTTCCCGAACCCGACTTCCCGCGTACGCTTCCTGGTAGTGCGGTTCCCAACTCGAGGTGCCACCTGGCTTGACTAGTCACACGAAGACTTTTCTCCTTCGTTTGCTGATTATTCCTTTCAGCTTCTGTGTAGCACACAAACTCTTCCCTGCTTCACTAATCCTGTTGCTTCAACAGATTCTTCTCCAAAGAAATTTGGTTGGCTACGGTACAAAAGCTTCAGATTACTACTCCACCTACGTCTTGGGAAAATATTTTACAATGGCTGCCTAATTCAACAACAAATAGGGAAGCTTCACTAGCTTTACTTCAAGGTTGGCATGCTTGCGTATACGAAATTTGGATGGAGCGTAATAGGCGTTATCACACCGGTCTTTCTTTGTCTCCAACGAGCATTTTTCAAAAGTTAGTCTTAGTGGTAAAATCAAAGGCTCAAAGTCTCTCCTTACAATATCCGGACAGAAGACCGATTACTCCTTGCTGGGATGGACCATCGACCTTCATTTTCAGACCTCCATGATTGGAACTCACTCCCACCAAGTGACATCAAACTGATCTCATCTTCTTCTGGTTCTTTTTCCGTCCTTCTCTTTCGTCCTTCTTCCTTGTTCTAGTATTGGTATTTTCTTATTGTATTCGATGATTTATTCATCATATTTTCTATGTAAACATTCTAAATATATTCAAGAACCCTTTAACAAAAAAAAACATGTTGCTATTTTATATCATATTAATGAATTTAAATTTATTATTCAATTTTGAACTTTTAAATGTTGTTTTTTTTAATGTAGTTTTAAAATTGGTATTCCAATTTTATACCAATTTTATAAGTAGTTGTTATTTTGTATATTTATTTATTTATCTTGAAGATAATTAAGTTCATAGTGTATGATATATATATTTTTTTTCATTATTATTGTTATCCTATTCTTATAATACATCCATTTATCATTATTTACTAGGTGAGTACCCGCACTACGTGCGGGTTTATATAATTTACTATTTTTAAAACTATTT